AGCCCATACAAACTAGCCCACAGGAAAAAAAATGAGACGATGACATTCACTAATGGATCTCATCAATACGGACGGCATAACTTCATTCTTGTGGATTACATCAGTGAGACCAGACAAAGGTGCTGGTGACCATAGCCGCTAGAAACATGTGGTATCAATGAGCGAGATCTGGTAGTTATAAGGGCAGTAATAACGTGTATGCATTGCTACCTAGAGGTTAGGTTAGGTTACAGTAGATTGTTAGGTTAGGTTAATGTTTGCTTAGGTTACGTTATCTTACCGTTTGTTTACGTTAGGTTGGTATTTGTGTGGTTAATCTTTAGGTGAAATAAGGTGGGGCCCTAATATTTACTTGATCTGTAATATTAAATACAGTAACAGCCGCAGTTTTAACACCACGCATGACCACGAGTGACTAACTACTACCATAAACACAAACTCAGCTTTACTACAGAGAAGAAACACAAAGTATAAATGACAACAATAAGTTCTAACTAAAGATAAAAACGAAAACAAAAGAAAAATAAACGTAGAAAATTAAAATTAAATAAATATCTGAAGAAAAAACAAACAAGACAGAAATAAACGTGAGGAAAATACAAAAAAACAACTGAGGAAAAATACGAAAACACAATAGAGTAATAAACGTAGAAAAATAATAAAAAAATTAATAACTATGACCACAGCAACAAGTCCTACTGTACATGATACCGAATAAGAATTTCAAGGTTGTCGCTCAGTCACGAGGGTAAAACAAAAAACAAAAAAGCATCGACAAAACAAAAAAAGCATCACTATTTATAAGTCAAGGGCGAGGCCTCTATGCACTAAGATGAATTCATTTATTACTTCGTCTTGAACACCGCCACTGAGCACGAGGTTTAATGTGTTAGGTCTTGGTGATGGATGGAGCACTAAAGGTGGATGGAGAATAGAGAGGAGAGGCGAGATAGGTGATGTCGAAGGGAGAGACAAAAGCGGGAGAGAAGAGAGGAAAGGGGGGAGTTGAAGGGCGACACAAGAGGGAACAAAGGAAGAAAGTAGAGAGAGGAAAAGGAAAAAAAAAAGAATAGGGAGGAAAAGGAGAAAAAAGAGGGAAGGAAGGGAGAAAGAAGAGGGAGGAAAGAAGAATGAAGAGAGGGGAAAGGAAAAGGAAGAAAGCTGAAAGAGAGAAAGGAGCGGGAGAAAGATGTACGAGGGATGGAGGGACGATTAAGAGGGGAAAGCGAAAGGTTAGGGAAAAATGAGACAAACAATTAGAGAAAAGTGAAAATAAAGACGAAGAATAACAGGTGAGAGGTGAGGTGCCTTGGTGTAGGAAGGGAGAACTCAGAACAGGAATGTGGAAGGGAAGTTGTGTCATGTACAGAGAGAGATGAGAGGAAAGAGGGAGATAATAATGTCTACTTCTCTCACAAAAGGACAATGGAATGTACATAAAAGGTTGAAGGAGACTCACAGAGGGCATGGCTGGTTTTCCAATGGTCAGAAAACACCATAAAATGGGAGAAAAAATAATACTCAAACGGGAAAGGACAAATAACCACCGCCACCGCCATCGTCTCTCTCTCTCTCTCTCTCTCTCTCATTCCACCCACGGGGTTTTACGCCTCAGTGAACGGTGTCGATCTCATTTCCAAAACCTTTTGTGGTAATGTTTCCCACTGGTCCTGAGTCTGGTCAAGGCGTGGTGGGGATAGAGGCTTTTGGTTGTGAGGTGATAGGGACGCTAAAGAGGTCAGCCTTGAGGTAAATATCGATGTAAGTCTTATAAAAACATAGGCATGTCTTGGAAAACCTCTTAGCCAACAGCCAGACTAGGAGTAAGTCCCTTCAGGAGGCATTTTGGAGAAAATCCCCGACTAGGATCATCCAGCTCAGGTCTGAATGCACCTTTAACTAGGTCTTGAGGCGGATCCCGTCAGGAGTGGGTGGGTGAGCGACACACCTGATACAATAAACAGATGGGGAGGAGGATCTTGCCTGTCTCATTACCTGCTGCTTATCACTCGTTCAGCGAAAGTTGTTGCAGCCGGCCTCCACCTGCCCCGACACGTAGGAGAATGGCAAAACAGTAATGTTACGTCTGCTAATTGTGTTTGCTTAGGCCCACAACACTTTCACATATACTAGTGCATAATAACCTCCCAGAACTGGTCATGCTTACACGTCTACAAAAGTAATACTCGGTACGATGTTTTTATTCACTTGTTAATATACATCGTAATTTATTCCCGAGCACAGTACATCATGTCAGTTTCTAGGGATTGATAATGAATAAGTAAATTGGAAAACAATACAAAGCATTTACATATATATCTGCAGATGAACAAAAAGTTACTACATCCGCAGACGATAATGAAAAGTTGTCCATATCTACAGAACAAAAATAGAAAACAAGGTTCTATATCCACACACTATAACACATAATAAACGATTTTTACACCCACAAACCATCACGAAAAATAATCAATAAATTATAGATCCACAAACTAAAAAAAAAAGAAAATATATCCATCTCCACAAATTACAAAAAAGGTAAAAAAAAAAAAAAGACACCCACACTAGCATCCAGGGTAAACAGGTCATTGTGTGTGTGTGTGTCACTTGTTGTTGCTGGTGTTGTTCAGGTACACCCAGTTGACTCGGGCTTAATGGATACGTGTGGTTCGTCGCTCCTATTGTCGTTGGAGTTACGGGGTATTGTAAATCTTGTGCCACGGATTTTAATAGGTACCAGAAACCAGCTCATGCAACCTTCCCGAGAGAGAGAGAGAGATTGGTGAAGGACATGAAAGAGGGGGTAGGGACAGGAGGAGGAAAGAATAGAGAGGAGGGACTTAATGTCACTTTCTCAGAGGGGGACAGATTATTTCACGTCATTCATTGGGGGACGACTAGAAATAAACAAGCGAAGGGCAATTTCTTCTTCTCTCATTCTTAAAACAATTTACCATTCTGTAATGTTATATTTGGTTACCAAGAAACTACACAATGGGTCATTATTTTCCTTCAATCCGTAAATAGTTCACTCCATTTTACTGAATTCCTAAAATCCTGTAGCCTTTCTTTTTTTTTACCAATAGATCGATGAAGTGACTTTTACACAAAAAATTAAATCATCATTTCAGGAAAAAAAATTCTAATTTATTCGCTTCATTAAAATACCAATAAAAACTAATTGTAAAAAAAGTGACCCATTCATTTACTGAATTACCAAAACTGTCCATTTTCTAATATTTAACTTCATCCCGATGGCATTGCAGATAAATAAAAGTAGCCATCTTCTTAGATTAATCCCCAAACCTGAAAGATTATACCAGTAGGTGTGGGATAAATTTTGACAGCAATTCACTATCGTTAAATATGAACACACAAACTTATTAAGATTCCCAAAGGTAATTATTTCCTTCAAAGTAATACTGTAGATAATACAACAACAATTCAAAAGGAATATGCGAGTTAAAGATTATCAGTTTTTCTCCTCAGACAGTAACAGGATCCGAAAATAATCCTACAATTTAATGAACTTTGAAATACCAATAATTTTCGAGTGAGTGTTGCGCCAAGAATCACGTGGACACTGACAAAGCACTAAGATATCACTGGTCACTTGTTTTAACTGAGAATTTTCCGTACATTAGACACGGTTAAATTTCCCTTTGTTGTGACTCAGGTGGGTAATGTTTGTTGTGAAATTCCATGACAAAATGTGTGGAAGGTTTAAACGGTAGTGACAATTATTCACTACTACTAAACTCTCTCTCTCTCTCTCTCTCTCTCGCTCTCTCTCTCTCTTTTGTGAGAACAGCCGGATAAACAATACAGATTCTCTTAACTGAAGCTGTATTAATGCACTTAACTGGTTGACACATTAAGTTAGAGCAATTAAAAAATCACTAGTTATGCAGCGCCCACATCATTAACTTTTACCGATTATTCAATGAAATAAACATAATAGAGCCGTGATAAAAATCTAAGCTAGGAAGGAAATATTGCAGACTTTAGTTTAGGTTACCCTGAATTCAAGCAACCATTATAGAAAACGTTACTTTAGGTAGTGTTAATATTAGGAGTAACTAAAATAATGTTTCGGGTTGCGTACACTCCCAATTATTCTGGATTACCTCTACTTTAACTGCTGGTATTAATAGCATAACGCCTTCTGCTCAAGTGCACTGTTATCTAACCTTCTACCCAAGCGCCATTTTACCTACCTATGGACGTACACACTCGAATATTTAATGCAATTAAATGTAACACAAAAACTTAACTGGACGAGGAACGGTAATAAAACTACCTGTAAAAGTCAACCTGAATAGTGGACCCTTGGTAAAAAAAAAACACCAAATAATAAATACATCCACTGTACCTTGAATTGGTTAGGTTAGGTTAGGTTAACGTTACCTAAGTTCTACAGGGTAATTTATAATAAGTAAATAAACCGCAACATCTTCGTCGAGTCGACAACACAGCGAAAATCACTAATGGTAATCCAAGAGGAGATTCGATGGCAAAGTTCCTCTGGTGTACACTCGAGAAGCCTGGCCCAGGTGTATACAAACACTGTGAGCCGCCGCCACTGTACCTGTGTCCTGCACCTGATCATAACCATCGATCCTGGGGCCTTAGCTCCTCTGGCTGATCTCTGCCAAAATAATAATAAAAAAAAGTTTCACGTATAGACTTGCAACTAAAGAGCACACACACACACACACACACACACACACACACACACACACACACACACACACACACACAGACACACACACACACACACACACACACACACACACACACACACCTTCATGATCATAAATAAAAAATAAATAAAATAATAATAATAATAATAATAATAATAATAATAATAATAATAATAATAATAATACAAATAATAATAATAATAATAATAATAATAATAATAATAATAAACCATCAAATATAATTAAAGAAAAAAGTATACCTGACGCAATTTCAAAACAGGAAATCAATTAACTTACCGCGCGGAAGGAGCTGTGGCCATCCTGTGAAAAATATTACCAGTGGAGGAATGACGGCAGCTGTCTGGTCGCATTTCACATAAATCTGTTGCTCTCACGCCGATCTAACACTCGGGCTTTCGGGGCAGGAGAGGAGCACAATCTTCCCTGGGTACTAGAGGTGAAAATCTAAGTCAGTAACTGTGTAAGGGAGGCACTAGCGACTGTCTGTTATTCAGCCTCGCTCTGTAAACCGAATAATGGCTACGTAATGTTTGTATTATCTCCATACAGCTTGAAACAAACACCTACCCGGTCTTATTAACGTGATTCAACAAGTATATTCTTTAAACAGTGAACACAAGGATGGTTTACGTACTAGACAACAATTATTAAACAAAATGAAAAGTTAGTACTGTACTCTCAGATCCTTTTTACGAGTATTTCTGTTCTTCAAAGGTCTTTAAGCATTGATAAATAATAAACATAACTGCATTTTTTAACATAAACATAAATTCTTCAAAAATAAATTTAAACATACATTCCTCAAAACATAAATGGTTATATCAAGGCACTGGTCTAATATTCGTGGGTGTCGGTGCCAAAAATATCATAATTTATAAAACTTAAATTGTTAAAAAGAATAAAAAAAAAAGTTGTTTTGTCGTATGGTCTATGGTGATGGTATTTCGTATTTTTCTCTCCCTTCTTCTATTTACTTTTTAACACCTGTCGTTGTGACTCTTCTCCCAGAAAGATTTAACACACACACACACACACACACACACACACACACACACACACACACACACACACACACACACACACACACACTAATCAATTACCAGATGATACATTCATTATTATTGTGTATTATCATTATTATTATTTTTATTACTATTATTATTATTTATCATCACTAACAAGAGCTATAGAGGACCGGATATATGAAGTGAGGAGAGCTATAAACTCGAGTGAACAAACTGTTTACTGTATATTAACCGTTGTGAAGGGAGGTGTTCTGACGCTGGGGGAGGGGGTATAGGTGCCTCTGTATTGATCATGTGGTGGCCAGACGTGAAAGGGGTGAGAGGGGCGTGTGGAAGGAATGGAGAGAGGTGGAAGGAGGTAGAGAGGGGTGTAGGGAGGGTTGAGAGGAGGGGTGTAGGGAGGAGTGAGAGGAGGGTGGGCGAGGGGCGAGAGCAGTGGAGAGGTGTGTTGTAGGGAGGGGTTGAGAGGGGTAGGGAGGGTTGAGAGGAGGGGTGTAGGGAGGAGTGAGAGGGGTGAGGAGTAGAGTAGGGCTTAGAACCTCATTTAGCCACGGTTTTCTGTGTGTGTGTGTGTGTGTGTGTGTGTGTGTGTGTGTGTGTGTGTGTGTGTGTGTGTGTGTGTGTGTGTGTGTGTGTGTGTGCGTGAGACAACACTTTCACTTCTGTGGCCACGTGGGTATTTGGGGTAAACACCTCCCTCCTCTCGCTCTCTTCCTCCCTCTCTCCTCTCTAACCTTTGCCGTTCGAACTTCTCCATTTTACTTCCTGCCACCTCTCCCCTCACCTTTCACCCCCTTGCTTCAATCTCCACCTACACGTGTTCATGTGGCAACAAGCGCTCCAGTAAGACCTCGAGGACGGAATAGGCTGAAGAGGTGACCAACACAGGGATCCCAACGATTACACCGGTGGATATAAGCAATATAAGATGGACGGGCTACTAAGGCAGAACCCAATAAAGTCGGCTATAGGCAGTCTATTGGAACTCTACTGCTCCCCAGTCGTTGTAGTTGTAGTTGCCTGTTCCACTGATTCAGGAAAAAAAAGAGAGCCAAAATGTGTGGTTGCAGCTGGCGCATTTACCTCAATATAAGTCAATTAATGCTCATCATACTGCTCATCCCACTCTCACCATTTCCACCATAACCTCAAAAAAGTCCGATGGTCACAGATGATAGCACGTTTATGTTTTGCGGTTAGGCAGCTGTGCATTTTGGTCTTGTCTGTACAACTAAGTAGTCCTATTCAGAAGCGACTCTGGTCACCCCTCATGAGGAGTTAGAAAGATGCCCTAACTACAGCGTGCTTACTTGACTGGGCAACTACTCTCATTAAAGTCATCTCCAAAGTAGTCAGAAGCATTGCACATAGACAAAAAAAAATCTATACAGTCTCTCATGGTCACTGTATGATACATCAGGACCCATGTATAGACTCACGAGAACGCCCCGAAAGAACAACCATTGTGGCGAAAGAGCTGTCTCTGTATAGCATTACTAGAATAATTTTAAGTGAGTTCCAACTCTCATACAAAGGCTAATTCAAAGAAAATGGGACCAACTATAACTTCTTAAGGAAGGGTAAGCCGCTACGGAGTGCATTTCACCATATCATCTTGCACTAACTAATCAAAACACCTGTCGGAATCAACGAGCGTCCCATGTGCCATTGAACGACTCACGTCACGGTTACTTCTTCGGTACCAACGTTCCAACACTGGACGCAGAGGATGACATCATTTATTCTGACCTTGGTAGATTATCAACCTCTACTCACGATGAAAACAATATTTCGAAAGATGCTGAGTCATGGCACGGGACCAAATGTGCTGCTCACAGCGTCAAACACAATCCTCAGTCTCAAGCCAAAACTGCTATATTCCCTCAACAGAAGGAATTATTCCAGCGCAAAATTTGGGAGATAAGGGACAAGTGCTGGGCTATAAATGTTTGTGGACCGACACCAGATGCACGAGTTCTTCAATTCTACTTAAGCAATCTACGGTCCAACTAATTATGGCGCCCCTCCGAGCTCGCACAACTGACGGCAAAATTTGATTATATACTTCAACACTAGAAAGAACACTACCAGTCCCCATAAACCAAAACAGTGATGTGGGTGTCCAGATTACTCAGCAGGTCACACGGCGCCCGATGAAAGCCCATCTCGTGACGAGGTAGCCACTGCCATTGATCAGATGAAAAATAGCATGGCCACCAGACCCAAAGAAATACCAGCTGAGCAATATAAATTAGAAAGATCCTCTCTGTCCATCCGTTTCCACTCCCTCTTGCATAACATAAGGGATCATGAAGACGTCAACCCAGACCTCAAAGACATCACCATCGCCACCATATACAGTATAAGAACAAAAGTAACAGAACAGACTACGGCAACTACCGCAGGGTCGTACTGTTGTCCACAGCTGATAAGAATCTCACACATGTCCTCAACAGACTACTCCCTGAGGCAGAAAATTTCCTCCCGGAGTCGCAACGCGGCTTTAGCCCGTCTCAGTGACATGATTTTTGCTGCCCGCCAGATACCGGTGGGATCAGAGAATGCCACCATATTCCATTACTATTGTGAAGCAACCCTGTAGTATGACATGAATTGCATGCAGATTATTATGAACGTAGTGGTGGTGGACAAAGAAAGATGTACAAAGATTCACTTTAGACAAAACTGAAAGTGCCAAATCGACACGTCCATGTGGACGACCGTCATCCCCAACCGTGACAACTGGAAAAGTGCCTCAGGCAAGGTATAAAAACCTTCGAGGTTGATCGACTACTTGACGAGGCAGAGAAGCGCCAGCTTCAGAAAGACGTTGGTGTTGCCTCTCGAGCCTCCTAAGAGCTCATAAACGAAGGTGGCATGATTAAAAATTCCTATCCTTTATTCAACTTTAGATGATTGTCATACTCGACGAAAATGACAGTGAAGAGTGCGTGTGTACCGTGGATATTTGGTGCATATAACAGTATGTATGACGTAAATGAAAATGAAAAAACGATATGGTTTGTAAAATATCATTTGGTAAGTTCAGATTTGTTGTACAATATCGTGTCGTCCAGCATGTGAGAACACGAGACTCCTGATATGATGGATGACGCAAGTAAAAATACACCCATATGCAGTGTGAGGATATTTGTGTGTGATGGGTATGTTATTGATTATATTGATTATTGTTTGCTTGGTTACTTGCGGGTCTATAGAAGTTTTTCCCAAAGTTCAAATGTCTTAAGCTACGGTCACCCTAGAGTTTTCCGTGCAATAAATCCACGATAGCATCCACAGGCAATAAGTCAACGGTACGATCCGCACACTGGTTACACTGGCGAAAGGAATCATTGAGCTCAGTTGGAGAGTAGGATGACTACATTGTATGTTTCTATTGCAGCATTAACCGCTTTAGTGGGATGTGTGATCCTGTTAAAGAAGACCAAGACAAAAAAGAAACGATTGTGCGTAGCAGTATCCATCACGGAAATCTGGTGTTCTTTTGTAGCGTCCAAGCGATGTTTGTTTACAAGTGACGTAAGTACGTCCTCTAGAGCAAAATGAAATTCCCTTCGTGATGTATATACTGTGGCAGTTTTGTTCGTGTGTTTTTATTCATTTACGCTTTTTATATTTTTGTAAATCTTAACATTAATAAGAAAAAATTAGAACGGTGTAAATGTTATTAATACAATTGACTATCTATAGCAAATGTCAACCCACCGTAATGTGGATTTTCAGACGCTCCGTATCGCCCCACTTTCGACAACAGATAAGTTGTCGCTGTAGAGACAACTTGAGGGCTTCGTTGAAACTGTAGTGTGACCGCAGCTTAATTTCCTTCAGATTATCGTTCAGTTTTTAACCTGATCCTATAATTAAAATCCCTATTGCGATTATACTTCGCAAACTAAGTAAATCATATGTGGATCTAAACAGTTATTAATTGTTTGTGGATAAACGTATTTCATAATAGATGGGATGAATTCTGAAACTGAGTGCACAATATATTGACGAATTCAACCAAAGGCATAAGCTGAGCAGACAAGCTGGCCCTATAATCCATCCAATCAAGAAGCGGCTACTGACGTCATAGTGTATTACGCCTCTAACTGACTGGCCTGCCTGAACCCGTAATGTAACCAATTAGAAACGCTTGCTGACGTCATAGGGACCACCATAACAGTATGATGTTCGAAAAATTTGCCAGTATTGTTTCCTTATTTACAATTCGCTTCTGACGTAAATAAGTTAAAAAAATGAAAATATTTATCTTATCAATATTTATTATCATTTGATTTTGAATTTGAGTTACAAACAAGACATCAATTTACCATAGATAGACATAGATGCTTTATTGAGATAAGTTTGTGTAAGTTAACCTCAGAATCAATGTAACGTGGCCACAAGTTTGTGAGAAATCTTTTACTTAACTGATCTGGCCATAATATCTTTAAGTGCAACATGATGCTGCTGTAAAGTTTGGTAAAGTAAAAGTTTGAATCACTCGATATTATCCATTTACCAGTCAGTACCACAGGGATAAAGTTGGTGCATGAGTCTCTAACCTAGTCTTATTGTACGTGTGTTTCCTTGGGTTCATAACTCACTGGACACATGACTAAGGACTGATATGGCCGAGATAGAAAAATTACCTTCAGATGACAAGACCTTTAATGAGAAAATTTACGAGACACATTAGAGAAAAAACAATAAAAGAAAAGAAAATTGAACTTTCTGATACAATGGATAAATAAATCTAGTACTGATAAACAATAGATGAAGCTTGTGTTAATTCTCGTATTCATTTTAAATCTTTATTCACGTTACTGAATAAAATAAATAATAGAACGTTTGCCTGTGACACCAGAGCGATCAGCTGGTTACGTCAACGTTTGTATTTATTTATTTTTATAATTACACTTTACGGTAATTTTTTAATGTTTAATTTACTCCTATTGTTCATTTTACGATTAAATAAAAATAACGTGTTAATGAGGTATTAGATTATGTTAGACCATTCAACTGTGAGGTGTAGGTCGGGTTCCCTGTGAAAATATCAATAAAAAACATAGCTGCTCTTTCTCGTCTCTTCCTTATCACCTGCACACCTGTTCTACCTCTCACTCAATACACCTGTTCTACCTCTCACTCAATACACCTGTTCTACCTCTCACTCAATACACCTGATATACCTCGTACACGATATTATTCCTGCTCTCTCGTTATATTTCATCCGATATACCAAAACTCTCCCTTGGTATATATTCTCAGCAAATATAGACCTCGAGCTCTTACCCAAGAACCAGGTAGGTGTGTTATGGAATACACGTGAGAGTGATTAGAAATTACCTGAGTGTTTATCTTGATATGTACGCCTTACCTGACACCTGAGCTCTCTCTCTCTCTCTCTCTCTCTCTCTCTCTTATCTAGGTAAAATATAATCCCATTCTCTCTCGTTTACCCTTAATTAACACGATGATGCCACGACCTCCAGTACACAACTTCACCAATTCTCTTCCTCCAGTACACAGCCTTGCCATTTCTCTTCCTCTCCAGTACACAACTATGCCACTTCTTCCCTTCCAGTACACAACCTCGCCATTTCTCTTCCCCTCCAGTACATAACCTCGCCATTTCTCTTCCCCTCCAGTACACAACCCTGCCTCCCTCCACGTCTCCGTTTACCTAACACAGTGTAGTGGTATTCTAAGGCTTCAGTATTATATGGGATTATTGTTTTCGGTGACCTCGGGGTTAAGTGTTTTTGTGGAGGGAGGTTAGGAAGGGGCAGGGAGTGAAGGGATGAGGAGGGTAAAGGAGGGAGAGGAGGGTAAGGGAGGGAGGGGAGGGAAGGGAAGAAGAGAGGAAGGGGGTTTGGATAGAGGAAGAGTAGGGTAGGGAGGAGGGTTAGGCAAATTGATTCTGTTGGCCATGAGGCATTATTATTATCATTATTATTAGTAGTAGTAGTAGTAGTAATAGTAGTAGTAGTAGTAGGGGGCTTCATATGCATGAGGCATGACGAAGTAAGGGATCTCACAGCAAATATGATGAAGGAAATCTGTCGTGATGTCAGGGTAGAACCGACCCTCCTTCCATTGGACGGTGAGAATTTCCAACATAGGACTTCAAACACATCCAACGAAGCCCGTGTTGACGTCAGTGCTCGAGGATTCTGGACGAGAGGACAGCGAGCCTTCTTCGACATCAGGATTTTTTATCCCATGGCCGCATGTCACCGTAACTTAGCTCTCTATGCTGCACACAGGAGGAACGAGAACGACAAGATAAGGGCATACGGGGAGAGAATTCAGAACGTTGATCAAGGCAGCTTCACTCCTTTGGTGTTCACAACCTCTGGTGGGATGGGACCAAGTGCAAGATGCTTCTACGCCACACTCGCGGAGGTGCTATCCGAACAGAAGCAGCAGCCCAGAAGTTATGTTACAGCCTGGATGAGATGTCGACTGTCCTTCTCTCTCCTTAGGTCTGCTTTGCTCTGCCTCAGCAGAACGAGAGCATCGGCCCCAAAGCCGACAACAGTTGCAGATATTGACTATGAGGTTACAGTCACTGAATACCGCATAGATCTGCGGCTCAACTAACTCAACACAGCTCGGATAGCTACTTATGTATTAGGATATTTAATTTTAAGGTAATAAAATGGCGGCGAAGGTGTGGCTATTGGGGGAGGATGGAAGCCACGTTTTTAATGTTGTAGTAGTAGTAGTAGTAGTAGTAGTATGATCATTGTACTATCAATATCAATAACAATACTTTTACCAATAATTACAGCATTATCATTATCACTAATACCATTATTATTGCTATTATTTCCGTCATTTATTATCATTACTTTATTAAAAGAAACAGGGTGAGGGCCGTTGTAATGTGACGAAGGATCTGAAGGAAGGAAGAGAACGAAGGTGGAATAAGCAAGGTGAAATAAGCAAGGTGGAATAAGCAAGGTGGAGTAAGCATGGTGGAGTAAGCATGGTGGAGTAAGCAAGGTGGAATAAGCAAGGTGGAGTAAGCAAGGTTCCCATGTATTTGTGTATTGTGTCACTCCACCTCATTACAAGTCAATATAAAGTATACAATATGGAGAAGTATCAGTAGGATTAAACTAACAGAATGGAACACACCTCCACCACCTCCAACCTTCTTCATTCTTACTCGATAAACTGTTATCATACACACGTCAATATGGTGATAATATCCGTAGTGTCGTGTGTGTGTGTGTGTGTGTGTGTGTGTGTGTGTGTGTGTGTGTGTGTGTGTGTGTGTGTGTGTGTGTAAAACGTATCGCCTACTATAAGAAGAATATCAACTAAAATTTGAATTACAATAAAAAAAAACACGTCCACAGGTTGAATCTCAATAACATTCCAAATCAGAACAGAGAAGAACTAGTGGAAATATCTAGACCTGGTGACGACAGCTGCCTCTACTGACATGACATCACCCCCAGACACACCATAAACACGACCTAACATTTTTAATATACATGAGAACTGTTATAAACTGTCATATTAATCATACTCATTCGTTAAAGACATATAATTACCCTCCCATGTTACAAGGAAAAAGAATTATTATCTGTTTCCTAATCCTGTACCAGAGGGGTTAAACGCCTTTACACTGTACCAACAACACGAGGTGATAGAGGTATAATACACACTACACGCAGTAATCTATAGCCATGCAGGTCCCTTAGTTCCTGTTTTATTATTATTATTATTATTATTATTATTATTATTATTATTATTAGTAGTAGTAGTAGTAGTAGTAGTAGTAGTAGTAGTAATAGTAATAGTAATAGTAATAGTAGTAGTAGTAGTAGTAGTAGTAGTAATAGTAATAGTAGTAATAGTAATAGTAATAGTAATAGTAGTATTAGTATTATTCGCACGTTTGTTGTCACAGTCTCGAGAGTTCCTAAGTGCAGTTCTCGGACCCACGTGTTGTCAGCCCCAACTCTTATAACTTTATTACTTCTCAAACACACATGACAAACCTCCTTGAAATTTCAAAGCTTTGAGAATTTAAAAAAAAACAAATAACAATAATAATAACTTGAACTTCAGTATGTCATAAAAATGTAAACTTCACATTTAACCTTAGATTAAGTGAAGTAGCGTCATCACCACGCCTCTAGTCATTAAAAATCTTACTTGTCTCCAGGTAATCATTCGTCTTTCATCACTATCATCATCACCATCATCATCATCATCATCATTAGTCCGTGCCATGTACTGTCATAGCTCGTTAGTCAAGTGATCAAATAAATCTCAATCCAAATAGGTCCCAACCTCACCATTAAAACTGGTGTCCATCCCAAATAGGTCTAGGTACTTTCAGGTCCCAGTTCTAAGGAAAAGATTTGGTTAGTTTACATTAACACTAAGACCCGTGTACTCCCTGTTGTGGTAGTGCAAGACTCGAATAGTCTGGGTCGAAGTTCATGTCTAGTTATGGCTACTACCTCTATGTCACTGATCATGTGAACTAGTTACATGAATTATAACACATGTGAGCTGGTGAGGGAGGGATGGAGGGAAGGGGGGAGGGTGATAAGCCCCCCGCGTGGCAGGTGTTTCTCCGTTGCACAACAAGTAAATCCATCACCACACATCAATAACGACTAGACTGCACGTGTGTGTGTGTAAATAACGTGTAATTTTGCTAATCACAGCTTACAAAGTCAAAACACGTTATAACTGTGATCACCAACCAGTGCTCGAGGAGTATGAGATCATGTATTACTTTTCTTGTTGATTTTATGATCAGATTATTCGATAAATGACGTACATTTTCCCCAAGGTACTAGAGGAATGCGGTGTTTCAGAAAATATGGAGAGCGAGTTGTATCGAATTATCGGATGAATTTGTCAAAGGAGGGGAAGGTAGGCAGGTAATGTTTGAGTGTGCAGCGTGTGTGTGTGTGAGGATGATGCAAGTAACAATGAATGTGCTGTATTATCAAGAAACAGTAGTAGTAAGGTTCACTTTACTATTAACATTGTTATTGTGTCCTCGTATAGTATTTGTACGGGACATATAAAAGTCCTCGGAGTGGTAGCGTCCCCGTGTCTTTGTAATATATCGCAGCTCAACACCCAGGTACTGCACACACACACACACACACACCAGTCGCCTCACCCAGACAACAAAATTCTTCCCTTTCTTTTCCTGATTTCGGATAATTTACACATCTTCGTACTCAGTGAAGATCGTAGACGACACCTTAATGCTATGGCCAAGGTCAATAGATCAATACTTACCATGTGAGAAGATAGAGAAGCCCCTCCCAGCTGATATCAACACACACACACCCTACACAACGAGCCTCCAACTTGTATGTCGTCTGCTTGTGATAAAATCAGCTGATTGGTCACGTGATCTCCAGACTGTTTTGAAATGCTACAGTCAATTTTTACCTTTAATTGGAACTTTTGTATTTTAAATTATTCTTCTAAATATTATACTGAATGTATATCGTTGTTTTCCAAGACTGAAATAGGGTTTATAAGGAACAGAATGGGAAATAAGTTACCCTGAAAAGCCGTCGTTTTCTTTTGTGTAAATATTAATAGTCGTTTTCTCTTACAGCTCCCTTGCACCCAGGACCCGCCAGACCGTCCGCACAGCAGCTATTGCCATTATATCCGCCCTGGCACTCGTGGCTATCTTCCACCTGGCCAAGCTTGCTGAACATCCAGTTAGTGAGAACGTAATTGAAGGTAAAAAAAAAAGAAGAAATCACTGTATCTGACATCATCTTTTCTTAATGTATTTTTATTTCTCTCATTGATTATAATCTCATGGTAACTTTTATAACGAAAGGTTGTGTTGTGTTGTGTTGTGTTGTGTTACTTTACCTTGAACTTTGAAATATATTGCCCCTTTTTGAATATATATGAACAAATAACTCCTAACTATATTTTCCTTATATTCACACGAGCCATATAGTGAGATAAACTTGGAATTATCTTTCTTTAATACTGTATTTCAAAATAAATAGATAGATAGATATTCAGTAAAATCGTCATAGAGGTTCACTTTGGTTTGAAGGTGCATGAAAGATAGTAAACTGAGTCAGTTCAACCCAGGATGGATGGTTTTTGTGGTCTGTCTTTAGCTAAATCGACTCATTGTTTACCATTGTTTGCATATCTAGTTATCTACACACTATCTCTGTACTGTACACTATGAACCAATGTGAACCAGTATGACAGGTTTATTGTAGTCATATACCTATTATTTAATCAAGTACCTGTAAGTGTATATGTGCTTTATCCTTCCACACACACACACACACACACACACACACACACACACACACACACACACACACACACATATATATATATATATATATATATATATATATATATATATATATATATATATATATATATATATATATATATATATATATATATATACTTTATACTTCCACACATACATTTATAACGTAAAGTCCGCTTGCTTTATTGGGCTAATGAAAAATATATAAATATATAAATATATAAATATATATATATATATATATATATATATATATGCCTTCCACTTGAGAGTATTATTGTCATATTTCATCTAACTGTTGTATTAACTCAAAAAGACATATTTACATGATAGTATGTGCCTGTGACGTTTATTAAGGATGATTGGCCAATTAAACATAAAGTGTATCTGATGTTTATGCCCAAATAGAGATAACCTTTTGCTTCTATTGCCTAAACTTGCTTATTACAGACACTTTACCATTCGTATATGAAAGTAAATGTCTTGTAGTCCTATATTTACAGGAATATTTTGAGTTGTTTTAATACACATTCATCTCCTACACCTATATGTCATAAACAGCTTCTCGCACACATATGACTTACTGTCTACACTTTCCGTAGCGCCGTCCCTGGAGGTGAAACAAGAAGCTGCGGCCTGGAGTGGTGACGGAGTCCGGAAGACCTCTGGTGGCAAGGCTATCATCCCTTCAGGTAGGCACTCCAGCCAGGTGAAACGGAAAGGGAGAACGGATGCGGGAAAAGGGGCTTAGAAAGAGAAGGGGACTGATGATAACGGTCGGATTGGATAGAGGAAGGTGGAGAAGGTGGAAGAGAGAGGGAAGGAGGTGTAGGAGAGAGGACATGGAGAGGGAGGAGGATAAAAGGGGTAGTGCGAGAGAAAGAGTGTGTGTGTGTGTGTGTGTGTGTGTGTTAGAATTAAAAAGAAGAGAGAAACAGCAAAGTAGTAGGAAAAAATAAAGAAAAATAAACTATGAGAGAATGGACATAGAGCGGGAGACAGAATAATGATACACGGAAATATAGACAGAAGGACAGATAGACAATCCAACAATCAGGCCTCATGTATAGATCCTCACATCCTTAGTCTGAATAAATATCTCTATACTTTGGGATACAAATAGTTTTATCCCGTACTCTCATTAAGTTGAAAATCTAACCATTATATTAAATGGCTGTCACCCATATAGTTCTTGTCGCTTGCATCCACATGTTCAGGACTCAGGGATCATTAAAATATTACCAGGTGACTTAATTTGTTCTAAGCTTCATTTAGTGGACAAAAACCTCATTCAAGTAATGTAAAATTGATCCGATTTTTCTTAACTTTTGGGTGATGGAACATCGATATTCATTTAATTGTATTAATGAATTTGTCGGTTTTTGTCACTTGTCTTTGGGTAAATCTGATCACTGAGAGGCAGTCATTATCCTTGATGAAGAAGGTGTGGAGTATATGAGAGCAGCATTTAATCAAAATCACTTAACAAAACCTGAAGTATACATTTATTCTAAACTTTATTTATTTACTGTTCAAAACAAGGTGGGCACTCTTAATGGGCGTCCAATATATACGTACTTGCTCAGAAATATATATATATATATTTTTTTTTCTGGCGTGACTTACAACTATTAAGGAACTAATGTGAGACCAATATATACTTCTGTAGTGAGTCCTATGTATTTATGAAGTGAGTCCTATATACTAATATAGTAAGTCCTATTTGCTTATATAGGAGCTCTATGTACTTGTGTAGTGAGTCCTATGTGCCTATGTAGTGAGTCCTATGTATTATGTAGTGAGTCTTATATACTTATGTAGTGAATCCTATGTACCTATATAGTGAGACCCTTTACTGTACTAAACTTGTGCAGTAAGAATATGTCCCACAATTAAAGAGTTAGAAGGCTCGAGAGGTATATCAAGACGTGAGAAGTCAAGGGAGTTTTATAAGTGAACAGTACAAAGTATGGAAGAGATGAATGGTAATGTAGTTCTATTACATGGAATTTGGATGAAGCAGAGGTGACATGATAAAGAATGACATGTGTTATAACTGGGGCTGAACGGAGGAGAGATAATGGACTGAATTTCATTAGCGTACTGAACAGGGATGTAGCTGAAGACAAGCAAAAATGAGGTGACGATCGTGTGAGGCAAGAAGTGACAGGTTGTTGTGAGGAGAATGGTTTAAGCTCGTACTGTAGGCATGTTTAATAAAGAGAGCAGTTTATAAGGTTAGGTTAGGTTAGGTTTATAAGTGTGATCTGTGTACCAGTGAAATATTTTTGTGAGTGACTGTGATTTCACTCAGACTATTTCTTCACCAGCAGGTGCTGGAGAGGACTGGAGAGGAGGGCAAGAATTTAACGATGCCGTGGCGGACGCTGGAGGCGTCAACCCAGTGTCTCCAGTGCAGGACATTTTGGCTCATGCTAGACCCGGTGGTAGGAGAGTCGCCATCCGTCCAATCCTCAATATTCCAGTTGATCGAAATATCATGATGCATGACGTACAGCGTATCGAAAAGCTGAACAAGAGGTACTCCCGACCTGCCAACTCAACGGAGGTGGAGAAGACGTTGGATCTTGTAAGGAAGAAAGTAGAAGCTGATCGCAAAATGCTCACCAGCAAGTCCCTGAGGCTGTGGTCTCAAGGAGAGACGCCGCTCAGAGTGTTACTCGTCACAACATGGCGGTCTGGCTCCACTTTCCTGGGCCAAGTGTTGGCCAACCATCCCGGTGTTTTCCACCACTACGAACCTTTCAGTCCCCGCGGGGTGCGACAGGTCCGTTCTGGTCGCGATGCGTTCCAGGCTCAACAGTTACTGCACCGTCTACTAGACTGTCAGTTTACCGGTCAAGACGAATATCTGAACTACACCCGCTCTCACCCCGAAGATATGATTGGTCACAACAAGGTGGTATGGGAAGCCTGCCACCAGGGACCCAATATCAACGCTTGCTATAACGCTGCATTCCTCTCTAGGTCGTGCCAGATGTTCCCAATCCAGTTGGTAAAGACGGTACGTCTACGACTTAACCTGACTCAGTTGTTCCTGAATGACGAAAAGATGAACACGAAAGTCGTGTTCCTAGTACGTGATCCTCGAGCCACCATGAGTTCCCGCTATACCTCAGTGTCTTGGTGTTCTGACAAACCCGACTGTTCGTCTCCAGAAGTTCTATGCTCGGACTTGCAGGCAGACCTGAAAGTTGCCACAGCTCTTCGCCATCTCTATCCTCAACGATTCACCATGATCAAGTACGAGGACATAGCCACAGACCCACAGCCGGAGATCCATCGCCTGATGGACTTCCTTGGATTGGAATATTCTACAGATATTGCTCGTTATGTTGAGGAACACACGCAGGTGGACGTCAACAACCCGTGGAGCACCAAGCGAAAGTCGTCCGACCGCATCAACATGTGGAAGAAGCAGATGCCTCTTGAGGAGGTCCACACCATTCAGAATGCTTGTGAGTCGGTACTCAAGACGCTTCAGTACGAAGTCGTTGGCCAGTGAGGGAAAATGACGAGCCGCCAACAACGTCGGGTGAATGCCTGAAGGTGCTGAAGCTATCAAGCTTTGACAATTTTGTTTTTTCTAAGGGAAGAAACTTCACATAATGACAGTGATCACGACCTCAGCCTTCTCAGGGCTATTGAAAGAGAGAAAGACTTAAAGCCATCATAAGTGTGTGAGCCCTGCTAGACGTTCATTAGAAACTGACGATATATGACACTTGACTGTGGCTCCCGCACTGACCACAAAGTTTGTGTGCAAGAAAACCACGCAGTAACGCTTCCTCATTGTCCACCCTATTTTTCACTCCCTGTCATCAGTGACGAACAATCAAGAATTTATTTCACAAGATTGTACAAACTTAAACTGACCTGACTCTTCAGGAGACACAGAGTAATGATAAACCTTAGACCAGAATGTCAACTCAGTTCTTCTTTCTGTCATTTCCAGAGGAACATATCCGACACCTGAGTAACAACAGTTACTTCACAAGACACCTGAGAGTCGTGTCAACCTGCATGAGAGATTTATCAACTAATTCTTCAGGTTCATTAACATCTTTCCAGTCCTGTTGGGATAATTATATCTAAACATTGTCTTCCACGTATGAAGACAACAACAAGACGTCAAAATAAATAACTTCAATAGATGCTGGGTGTAGATCAGCGCCTCACCTCCCACAATAGCTCTCTCAGCACACAAGTATAGATCTCTTAAATTTTAACACCTGAATGAGATTGTAGGAACACCCTTTTGAAATTTGCTCTTTTGCTCTCTCTCCTTTTTAGGCACACTTAATACACTCCTAACTGATCATCCTAAGATAAGGATTTCACTGTAGTATTAACAAACACCAAATCTATAGTCTGTGTAATATTAAACGTGTATCTTTCTGAGGCCGTTGCTTTGGGTACAGAACAAGGAGGAATGATAGGCACGAACAATTTTCACTTATGAAAACTAGTAATAATCTTTTGTTGATCTGTTGTTGCGAATGACACATCTCTTGTATTTGTTCATTCCTGTGAGACCTAATCTAATGTGCCTTGTTCTCAAATGATCTACGAAGATGTTTGTATGTATGTATGTATGTACTGTATATATATATTTCAACCTTATAGGATTAAGTTTTTATAACATGATTTAACAAAATACCTAAACAAAGAAAGGTGTTTGTTATGTAGGGCAAGTATGATCATGTGACAGAAATACTGACACATCAGTAAATGTAAATTATAAATGGTAAGTGTACAGACATAAAAGCTTTTCTTCTTTTTCCTTTTTCTTTTAATTTTTCTTCCTTCTTATATACTTTATATATATACTTATACTTCATACCACTTATAGTTTCTTGTACCAGTACACCGATTATTGTTTTTCTACTCTGATACATTTATTTATATTCCAGCCACTTGTATCGCTAAACCCATTATTTTTTTTATTCTCTTTTATGTTTCTCTACGAATTATTATAGTTAACTTGCAAAGATTTTGGCTTCACCTCTATCAACAGATCATAGAAACGTCAAATATATATTCTAAGGTCATGATTGGATTCAAAACCTATGTACACGCAGGATTCAGTTGATTTTGTCACGATACCTTGCTCTTTATATACTTAAGTGTACTTGACCACCCTGGCCTTCTATGTACGCACCCAATTTTTTTTAACCTGAAAATCTTGAAAGAGAAAGAGACTAGAACAGAAATCAGGGATAAGAGAGAATAATGAATCCTATGGATGCTAAGTATCTGTTGACTAACTACTGTATAACCTGCTGCCGGATACAGGTGAGAGGGATGATGTAGCCAGGCAGTAGACATCCTAGTTAGAGCTTCAATACACTGGGTTTAATGGATGGGATCCTTTATCAGGTAATTTTCTAAAGAGCTTCCCAAGTCTATTTTTCTTGTCCCTATTGTGATACTATGACACATTTCCACGTATCTCTATAATTTTTAAGTTGATATTTTTATGTGTTTTCCTGAGTAACATTAGTCTCACTTTATCCTGTAAGATATTTTCCTTTTCACTTAAATAAGTTTGTGTACTGTACGTATGACTGACCCTGTAAACTGATTTAGTTATATAATTAATCTTAGGTTATATTATTTCTGGATGAATAAATGATGTGTGGTACTAGTGTGCTGAAAGATCGTAGAAAATTACTTAGTTTTATACACTAATATGAGTGAAATATACCTTTAGAGTGATTTGAGTACATGGAATGTGTGGTTTCAGGGTGATTATATAGTTAACTGTAAGTGAATCAATATTTTTTTGTACCTACCAACTGAGTGTGCCGTGTTGACTGTAATATACGAGAAAAATAGTAACTCTTATGTTTCATTTTCCCAATGTAGGATGAACATGGCCAGCCAGGTGTGTGTGTGTGTGTGTGTGTGTGTGTGTGTGTGTGTGTGTGTGTGCAGTTAGTGAGTGAAGTGTTCTCATTTGCCACACATACATTCATATACACATATACATACCCACACATAGATGATTAGATAGATAGATAGATAGAGAGAGAGAGAGAGCGAGACAGAGAGAGAGAGAGAGAGAAATTTCCCTCTCTCCTCCCCCACTGTCCTGAGGGACAGTCCTGCTCTGGAGTCAGAGATTTAAGAACGAGAAGAACTTTGACGTGTAAAAGTAACGCAAGAAAAAAAAACAAGAGAAAGAAGACGAGGGATAGAGGATAACAAAGGGGAGCGAGAGAGAGGGAAGGAGGGAAGTAAGAAAGGGCAAAAAGAGGACTGGGAGTGATGTACTGTACGAGCATCCCTTCGACCACGTCACCTCAGATTTGACACGCTGTATAACTAAGTATATTTACCTTTGTTACTTGTTGTCGTTGGTGTTCTAATTACATTGTTAATGCTTATGTTCTCTTACTTGTTATCTTTTGTCCTCTTACTTGTTATCTTTTGTCCTCTTACTTGTGATATATTGTGCTCTTATTTGTTGTATTTTTGCTCGTTATATTTTGTCTTCATATTACTTTGTCCTCTTATTTGTTATCTTTTGTCCTCTTAATTGTTATATTTTGTGGTCTTGTTATATTTTGTGTTCTCTTTTGTTATATTTTGTGGTCCTCTCGTTACTTTTTATCTTTGTCCTCTTTTTTGTGAATTTTTTGGGGCTCTTGCGTGTTACCTTTGTACTGGCCGCATCCTCAAGGTAATCTCGGCTGTCACGTCACACTGAGTTATGAGCGATTACACTTGTCTTGAGCCCCGCCAAAGATGTGTGTTGGTTCATAATTTGAGCATCTTCATATGCGCTGAGAAGTGAGATAAGTCTCCTACCATTGGTGTTAGTGGTGGGGTCACCTAATTTCTTGTGCCTCGTATTCAGGTCACCAATTAGGACAGTGGGGTCAACGTGTAAAAAGTCTGGCAGATCTGTGTATTGAAGCTGATCTGAGGGAGCATAGGCATTTAGCACGTTGAGTGATCCCATGGTACAGAAGGTTGGTAGTCTTTTTGGATACAAGAGGTGCATGCGGTAGTGACTTCTTAACATACTGTACACATATTTGGGCAGACTGGGTGGTGGCTTACCATTAGGTGTGAGACACTCCCGCAGACACGCAATATCGATGTGCTCAGTCACTTTACTGGCTATGATATTCAGTGCAGTGTCTGCGTTCTTATATCTTAGTGAGTCAGGCCAGTGAATACCCATCATCTCCTCCCTCATCCCGTCGTAATTATACCCTTGTATTATTTGAACCTTGGCCTGCTTTTGCCATGAGCCAAATAGCAGTTAAATCTGAAGGAAGATGCAGTTTAACATTGTTCCTCTTCACTCATAAAAAGTAAATGTAATTATTATTGCAACAGCATCAAATAATGGTACCATCCGTCAGGCGCGGACGGAAGGTACGAAGAACCATGACTGGGAAGGATGTGGATTCCCCCTCCCATCCCCCAACTCCCCCACATGGCATGCTTTTTTTGGACAACTACCATTCCATCTACAATGACAATTTTCTTACTAGATGCAACCAGCTGGTGTAAGTTGTGGTGAGACCTTCACAGACTTTCTGAAGTGACTGTATCGTCGCATTAAGTCAAAGTTAAGTGTCGTCTTTGAAATACTAAATGCAAATACAAAAAAGAAGTTTGGATTAAATAAAACTACACTGGCATTTTGTGACATTTATTGAACCTGTAATAACTTCGTTGATTGGAATCCAATTTTAGCCAATTCATGAGCGTGATTTAGTATAATTTATTGAGGTTACAAGGAACATCACGTTACTACCAATAGGACAATGTGCTCTTTATACATAATTTGTAATAGTCATTCTATCTGGGCCAATGAAATACTTTAATTGAAAACAAATTACCTTAGAAGAAGTATTATATAATTTTCTTAAAGTAATATTTTTTTGTAGTAATATAATGATGATTGGTAGTTTTATATGTATTGTGTGATAAAGATAGACAAAAAAAAGAGAAGAAAATCCTCTTTGGTGTCGTTGCCTTGGTGTGATTCATCAGTCCGGAAGTCAGTTTTCTATGAGTCAGTGCCCGGGATGGTGGTGGTGTGTCAAGGCTTCGGAGGTCACTTACTGTAATATAATCTTCGTGTTCAATCATGGCGAATATTTTCAAGGTATGTATTATTCATTTACAGTCGTGCAGGTGTTGAGGCTCGTTGAAACTGATTTAGTTTGCATTTCCTCCTCATTTTGTGTTAATTTAGGATCTTGGTAATTAGTATTTAGCGTCAGTCTGAGAATGTTATCGAAGCTTATGAGAAACACGAGCATATTTCAGCGTTCGTTTGGAAGGGATTACACCTGTAAAACAATTGACTATAGAATATACTTCTCGTAATTAACTGGGGTGAAAATAACACAGCAGCGATATACCTCTTCATATGTTTATTATCTTACGCTAATATGGAGGTTCGCCCCTACGAGAAGAACGAATCCGTCTTGGCTTATATTACTACATATGATAATAAAAAATAAATAAATAAAAAGTAAAATGTACCGCTCATTTTACGACACATACATAAACTCTCCGATACTGATGTTTCGATAAGATTGGAGATAAGGAAGGTAAAAATAAAAGATAAAATATTAGTTTATATTAATTATGGTAACAGAATCTTGCTACAGAGTGAATATTATCCTCACTCAAGGGCCATAAAACTTTTCAAAAGTAAACAATGCCCCGAAGTGAGCATAACGCAGTCACAGATCAGGGATATTCTTGAATAAACTCCGGGAGATATTGAGATTATAACCATATACTTAGTAAGGGTTGAATGACACTTGTGACCTGCGAATATAAACCGTAGACAGGACTTAAATGTGATTATAATTGTGTTTTGTTTTCATTATTTCACGTTTTCTGATGAACTGGAAGAGGAAAAAAAGAGATCCATCGTTTTGGTCTTGAATACTGTGGTTCAGATCCGCCGTTCACGTCAGGGAGTCAGAGAGAAATGGAGATATGTTGGTTGTGACGTCGGCAACTACGCACGTCTTGGGACCTGCAATTAAAGAGAATTTTAGAACATTACCTGCATTAATTAATGAAGGAACTATACTCAATTCTGAACTTTTTATTTCCACCACATGTATGAAACAGTTACGCCTACATTCTTAGAAAGAAATCTGTAGTGACCTTTAATATAGTAGAAATTAATTATGATATTGAAACAGTTGATTTAGCCTAAAAAATACACATACAGACTGGTCAATAACAATAACATTAACACGTGGAAATTGATGAATGGTGAAAGTAAAGGAAATTAAATATTGAAGAAATATGACAATATCTAAGAGGGAAAGAAGTGTAGGTATCCAAGAGAGAAAGGCAAGCAGGTATCTTAATTAGAAAAAAAGAAAGTCAAAATCTAATTAAATCGGTGACACAAGGACGTGTATTAGGATGTGTAGGACTTGTAGTATAACGTATAGGACGTGTAGTAGGATACGTAGGACTTAGTAGGATGTGTAGGGCGTGTACTAGGATGTGTAGGATGTGTAGTAAGATGTGTAGGATGTGTAAGATTCGCACCTCAAGAGAATCATTTCTTCTCTTGGACGGGGAACCAAGCGGCACACGCCTCCACCGCCACCTGACACACTGACGCCAGTCCCTTGCCAGGCTCGAACACTGCAACAGAAAACGAGTAGATTAATGCCATGGTAGACTACATACATACATACTTACATACATACATACATAGAGAGAGAAGGAGAAAGATGAGAGAGAGGGAGGGAGAGAGGAGGCCATAAACGAATGTCGATTAAGCTAAAACCAGAGAGAGAAATAAAAACGAATATAGGGGAGTGAAAATAATTTGATAACGGATGGATAGAAGAATAACACCAATACATAGAAGTGACACAATGGAATAAAATATAAATGATAAAATAAATTATAAAAAGATGTACCGACAACTTCCAATTGAGAGAATCAGTAGAGCAAGGAAATTAACGTGTCATTTTGCTCCATTTCTGCAGCATCACCTGATACATGGTACGTGTTACCTGTGTGCCAGTAACATAATTCCATTTGTTAAGTTTCTTGCTTCATAATAATAAGCATGAACATGGAACACCCAAACTCATATATGTGCATTATCATTAATATGTACCATAAATGTTTATTCCACGCTTCATATCGTAAATCACCGTTCCCATTTGTTGCGGGGCTTCAGATTGCAGTTTGGAAAATATGCTGACTATTGTATCCTAGCTCAGCTTGTTAGTAACGATGCACTTACAGTATATATTTTTCGTTTCTCTAAATGGGAAAAACATTCATTATTCTTTGTTGAAAATGAAGTATTTATATATTTTTTCTTAAATTCAAGTTGTGAGTTTTCAAATCATTCATATTGCCTTAGTCAATGTAAAGTTAAAGACGTTTTAACTCACATAACGACGGGTTAAGGTGTTTTTTGTTGTTGTCAAGTGAGTAAGGAACACTTTTCCAATATTGGTCTATTTAAGGAGTCGTAGTTACAGCTGGTGATATTGACAGTAGCCTCGTATATCCCACACAGCAGGTAATCCAATTTTCATGGTTGGCAGTCCCACGACTCTCGTTAGAGTTTTAATGTAATATTTAATACCGAATAGTTAAAGACATGATTTGACAAATGAAAAAGAACATTAATATTGTTCCTCTATTTTAGAAATATAGATACTCGTTTAGCATACCTACTGCACAACTGGAGACCCAGAACGTAAGACTTAGGATGGCCCTCGCTGAGCCACTCACACTAAAAATAGTCCGTATCCCTCTGGTGGAATTGGTGAAAAGTTACCAGAGGGTTACCCTTGTGAGGCTGCCCCAGGAGAGAACTACGTTTGACGTTTGCTGTCAAAGAATGACGAATGGACATTCGATGCAAAATTGAATAGGCCAGTTTTTCCTAGCTGTGAGTGGGTCAGTGGTAGCAATCCTTAGTCCCGCGTTGTGGGTGAAGGTTCCAACTCCCGCTGGTGGAGTTATTGTTTATGTATGTGTATTAGCGCGCGAAAGAGAGAGTGAAATCTCTACAAACAACAGCCAGTGTCAAGAGAATAGATAAGCTAATAAAGACAGGAATAAATGCCATAAATGTAAAAATTCGTCCAAAGATGGAACTGTTTCGGGAGAAAGAAAAATCAGGAGAAATAAAAGCCAGTTTCAGCGGGGTAGTTTGTCTTTTGAAAGACAAAGACCTCAGGCTATACAGCTATATCAACCAGCATGTCCGGATTTTGTAAAGAAAACCATCTCTCAGAATCAGAAAGCCCTTTTCATCACAGCGGACCAGCTCATCCAATCATCTCTTCGCTTCCTTGTTGATAACACCCCGGGCCAATCAGATATCACCTTTCTTTCAGTCGGAAGCTTATCCAATCAAAGCCTAGTTCACTCTCAGCCCATCCAATAAGAGGCGAGTTTCCTTTTAACCCAGCCAATCAACGAGGCGTATGGAGTGATTCGAGGTCTATATCTGCCGGCAGTGGAGGCAGCGTAGCGTTCTAAAGGGCAAAAACAATATCAACCTTTTCAATCTCCTGTCTTCATGGACCTTAAGATAAATTTTTGAGGAAATAATGAAGCAATTTATGGCATGACGGTTGGTCTTACTCTTCCCTTAGGCGAAGAGAGGGAGAGACACACAGAGAAAGAGATAGAGAGAAATTTGAAGAAAAGCAAGAAAAAGGAGATCAAATAGAAAAGGAGAGGAAGGGGATCACAAGTAAATGAAAGAAAAGAAGAGAGGAAAGCGAGAATTGAAAAACGAAAAATAGTCTTGTTCTTAGGGAGAGAATGTGAATAAAAGAAAGCGGTACACAGGGAAGCAGTTTGGCCAACATTACACTCGACCGCCATCTTTTCCTCAACTTGGAAATATTAGGTGTACCCATTTACAGCTGGGTGGAATGATAGTTCCCTGGGATCAAACCAGTAGCTTTTAAGGATAGAAGGCGAGTGATGTATCCACTCAGCCGCCGCACTCCAGAACCGGAAAACAAGTCTTTTTGAAAACATAATTTATCACTGGAAATGTAATAAGAATGCAAATAAAGTATTAGCAAAACTAGATTTGCTTAGTATGAAAATGTTTTATATAAAATAAATGTTATTACTAATACAGTCAAAGAAATAGTGCGGTGTCCCCACCAGCATCGGCAACAGATACCTGTGTACTCACGGGGGTCGGCTCCTGCTCGCTTGCCGAAGATGGAACCGTTGAAAGGTGGCTTCCTGTAGACGGCGCTGACGGGGTCAGTGAGCACCGCTACGATCACCAGCACCAGAGCCAACGCCACCACTACTCGCATCTGCACAGACATACTGTGGAGGAAGAGACCAACATGGTGAGAGTTGAACAAAGGAGAAGGAGCAATGACAGGTGTATAGGTAATATAATGAATGAAAGTTAAAGTATATATATATATATATATATATATATCTGTGTGTGTGGTGTGTGTGTACGTATGATTTTAAAGAGATACCACACCATCTGTATCTACAAATACATGGTGGGTATAAATGGGCTCTAAAATTGTTTGGAAGTTGCCTGTAAACTCATGCTTTTAGTGCAATAATGAGAGAGAGGAAGGGAGGAAGGGAGAGTGGAGGGGAAATAGAGATAATCATAGCAACAAGCACGCCATTAGTTTACCATCAACCACTTAGCACCCGAATAATGGTGCATAGCTGCCATATACCCCCCCCCCCTCTCTCTCTCTCTCTCCTTATTCATACAACATAATCTCAACATAATCCACTCACTATAACACTAGACTTTCCTCATACATTCACCTTCCTCATACACCCAATACACTCTCACAAAGTATCTCTCACATTATTGTCTTTCATTGAAGGTTACCAGATGATGTGTTGAATCCGTTACCTCTCTGTTAGTTCCAATTTCTAGAGAGAGAGAGAGAAGGGGAAGAGAAAGAGAGTGGGGGAAAAGAGCAAGAGAGAGGGAGGGAGAGAGTGAGAGACGGGAAGAGGAGGAGAGAGGAGGACAAAGATGGAAGAAAGAGAGAGAGGAGGGAAGAGAAGGAGAGAGAGAAAGAGGTTCATATAAATGTTCTTTTGTTTTATCTTTATCACCATTCTTACAGCTTTCTTTTTTATGAGTCTCTCTGTCAGTTACCATTTTATTTCGTGTTTGTTTCCACATTAACGTTAGAGAGAGAGAGAGAGAGAGAGAGAGAGAGAGAGAGAGAGAGAGACAATCGTATCAATTTTGCAAACTGGAATACATGTTTTGTTGCCAACCACTGTGTGAGTGTATGTCTGTGTATGTCTGTGTCTGTCTGTGTGTGTCTGTGTGTCTGTCTCTCTGTGCGTTTCATGAAATAAAAACTGAACAGTGTTAATAATTCTTATTTCATGGTTACGAGCTAAAAAAAAAAATAGCCTGTGAGTCTGTAGCAAAAATAATACATATCTAAATATCGAATAAATAAAATATCAGATAATATGTAAGAATAAAATAATATAAACCAAATATTAAGATTGTACATTATGTTCCTAGGAATAATATTAGGCCTACGGTTGAAACTTGAGTTATTATTATTGTATTTTCTTGACTTATTTACAACAAAGTGATGCTATTCCGTCTAAGAGAAACTGCTTTACCTTACCATACCCAAACTTACACTTAATTAACCCAGGTAAGGTTAGGTAAAGTTAGCTTAGGTTAGGTTAAGGTTGGGTTAGGTTGGGTTAGGTTAGGTTAGGTTAGGTTAGCTAATACTACTGGTATTCACTTTTAGTTTTGTATTATATCTGTATACGTGACAAGTCCTATATATTCACTGGTTCGAATTAGAAAAAAAATTCAGAAATATATTGAAATTGTCTATATGAAGCAATTAACCTAAAACGCACTACATTGTTGTGAAAAACAAAATAGTATAAATGTTTTTCTCTTTATCTTTTCAAGCTTGAGTCGTTGAGAATTTATAACCGAGAGAAAGGGGATGAAAATAATAATAGATGAAACAGGGAAATACATTCTACAAAAAAAAATATATGTTACACAGATAGGAATAATGACCTGATTAAGCGTTTAACTCTAATTGATGTTTGTTTGTTTTTTATCAATTAAGAAAAAAAAATATCTTCCTCGTCCTAAATATTAAAGTAAATTAGTAAATAAGTCTCTTGAATATTAAGTTTGTCATTTAGAAGTTGTATTTAAAGCTCTTGGGTGAAATGGTAACAAATAAAACATGAGATTTTGTTGTTTTTTTCATATCCAGATGTAATTAGTTAAGACGAACATTTCACATCTGAATGAATATATTTTATTTTATTTTTATTTTAGTTCACAAGGTTTATCAACTAACCCCTCCCAAAACAAATTTATATACAGAATATTAATTATCACATGGAAATATTTCAGAATAAGACAAGAGCTTTTCATGAAGGGATTTAAATTTTTTTCTTTCAACTTTTTTTCTTCTTTCTTTTTTCATGTCTGTGTCAGAGCCATGAACGGGAGGTTTGTGGCTGTCTAGTAGCTGTGAAAATATGACTGAATATATCCACTTTATCTGGAAACTAGTAAAGGAATTAGTGAGGGATGAAGAGGGAACGAGACCTGTAATTGAACTGTCCATCACCCAACCACAGGTATACCTTCGCGTGTTGAAATAACAGAAATATATCGCAATCAATAACACTTGTTCTCAGTTTATTTATGAATGGAGACTTAACCGACCTATCACAGAGTTCAGTGACTCGTCGGCAGCTAATCAGGTGGCAGGGTGTATTAAACAATGACGGAGTGTAAACAGGAAGTTTTTTTCAAGTATATTTTCTCCATTCGTGTCTTCTGTGGCTCTTCATGTCCTCCTTCCTCCCTTTTTCCCTTCTCTCCTTTAATTCTTCTTCCCTCTCTCTTCCTTCCCTGTATCATCAAAGGTACCGTGTCTTTACATATTGTCAATAATCTTGACAGCAATCAGTCACCCCAGACGTTTCACTCACCATAAACATGACAAATTACGTATATCCTGTAGGTTCTGAGAGACACCCCAGGAAAACATCCTCCATATTCACAAGCCACCATATCCCCTACACTCATCACACTTATCACTGCAATCACACCATAGCCACCACAACCACACCACAGTCACCACAACCATACCACAGTCACCACAACCATACCAGTCACCACAACCACACCATAGCCACCACAACCACACCACATCCAACACAACCACACCACAGTCACCCTACTCACCACAGATATTACACTCGCCAGAACCACCAGATTCACCACAATTCCCAAAGCCACAACAAAGTTAGCCAACAATCCTTCACAGACTGTCTTCCCTCTGGCGGCTACAGTGAATCACGCGCCAGAAACACAAAAGAGCGAATATCTCCTCCTGGGGAACATCCTGCTCGTGTTCTAGGAATATATCCAATAGTCCACTAATTTATCTCCTCCATATATATTTCGATCTCTTAATTCCATAATCTTTTCTCATGTTGACGGCAAACACCGAATCTTCTAAAGTGTAATGTAATTCTAATCTTTTAAGGAAATGTGTACTTAAGAAAAGATAAGTAAGGAGTATCTCTCAAAATTTGGAACATTTAATGATAGTTATTTTAGTGATTACAAAAAGATATCTTATAATATGTGTATATAATTTATGTAATAATTGTAGAGGAGTTTTTGCAGTGTTAGATTATTATAGCGTTGGTGCTCTGGAAGGGAAATGACTGTGGTGAATGTGAAGTACAGGTGTGTGAGAGAGAGGTGGAGATGAGAGAGAGAGAGAGTAGCGATATTCATAGGGATTAACGTGGCCAAAGTGGATCTTATTATGGATGATGGTGGCCAAATTGATTACTCAAATGATTGATGGTGGCCAAATTGGATACTTGTATGGATGAAAGTGGCCAAATTGGGTACTCAAATGGGTGGAGGTGGCCAAACTGGACATTCGGGTGGAAAAATTACGGCTGCCTACCTCGACACTTACATACACGAGAGTAAAATGAGGAAGGAAAGACATTTACAGCTGTTAAACTTGTTGACACACACACACACACACACACACACACACACACACACATGAAATCCTACGTCCTAATACTAAAATTACCCTTGAATAATTTATTTGGAATAACCCCATCAAACAATAATTCTCACAAGGCACTAAACTTGAAAACTAACTCCAGCGTTATTTCAGAGAGCTGCTTGAGTATTCTGTTGACTTTCCAAATTTCATAGTGAAGGACTTCTATCGGCCAACTTCCTCCGCCTCAAGTTTCTCTCCTCTGTTTAGTCTTTACTTAATCAAACTATTTACAGGTCATAGCCAAGCTGAGAATTATCCCTCGAAGGTTCACACGTACCCCCCCCTCCCCTCTCCCCCCTCCCCCCCAATACTTGTCTGTAATTATGCCTGGGATAAGTTTAAACCCACTGAGCATTTACAGTCAAAAGATCAAAAGTTAAATTACTCGTATATCAAAGAGATTTAAACTAAATTCGTTCAAATTCAATGAGGAAAAAAAGTGTCACTAAATATGGGGAATGGAATTAAGATGAAGAAAGTAATTTAGGCTTTAACAGTAATATATTCCTCAGTATAACTTTAACATACACAGGGCACGTTTTGTATACAACTAGACAGGGTTGACTTAATTGATCCTGGATTGACGAAAAGCTACCTATGCTCCTCAGTAACCAATATCTCTATGGTGAGTAGTACAGGTGTGTCAAGAGTCGCAGCAGTCCCGTGATCCCATACACTACTTTCACCTCCACACTTGGCACTCGCCACTAATTGTTGGGTGGTCCATCTTACCTCTCCTCCTTTACTCTTCTTCCTCCACGTAGTAATTCCTTTCTCTTTATCTTTCTTTTCTTTGTAATTGGCCTTATTCCGTCCCTTCTCCACCCATACCCCTTCCCCCATTATCAATACCTCTCTCTCTCTCTCTCTCTCTCTGTTGTCAGTAGTCTTTAGATAACTTCGCTTCACTGTTTGAACGCCAGGTGGTTCAACCTCACACCCTGTTTCCGAAGGTTGATTCATGGTGTTTATGTGCAGGTGTGTGTTAGTGGAGAAAACGGTATGTGTGTGTGTGTGTGTGTGTGTGTGTGTGTGTATGTGTGTGTGTGTGTGTGTGTGTGTGTGTGTGTGTGTGTGTGTGTGTGTGTGTGTGTGTGAGTATATTCTCAAACCACGTTCCAGTAACCTAGTAATCTAACTTTGATGCATTAAAGTAATCAGTTACTGTATACCCACAATTGCATACGTCCGTCGCGAGGAAACACACCTCTGAAATGTGTAAGCCAAACACAACAT